CTCTTCCTCGATGTAACACTGTATATGCCATGCCTGCAAGGTACATGGCGCTTAACCCGATCCAGACCGTAACCCCCCGCATGATCACGTTGCTCCCCAACCTCCTCTTCTCTTCTCCAACTCTCCTCTTCTCATACCCTATTTGTCTTGATATCATCAATAGCATACTTAACTTGTGTTTTTCGTTTTTCATTTATACTAAGACCCTGTTGATACCTCGATTTAAGCTCAATCCGATCCTGGAAGCTCCCCCGAGCTTCCTATCTTATCTCCCATACGATCTGATATGACCATTCGGAACATGAAGTTCACTCCCGAGTAAGTAGACTTGAGATACTTGACAGTTTGACATCAATATCCATTGAACCTCTTGGGGGCACTGAGCTGACACCGATTCCTCCAGGGTCCTGCTCGGAGCACCCAGGCGGTCCTCTGCCATCCCCAATGCGGCCGGCACACTAGCAGTCTACACGCAGACATCCTACTCCTTCGAGTCTCATGCCAAGACAAATGAAATCCGCGTTATCGATATTAGCTCTGGCCGCTCTGCCCTTATCACCAACGACCCCGGCGCCAGTAACCCACAGTGGGTGGACGACAGCGACAAACTTGTCTGGCTAAAGACAAAAGGCAACGGCAATACAAGCTTCGTTGTCGGCGATGCCCGCCAGGCCAATGAAACATACACCGCAGGCACTGTCCCAGGCCCGGTATCGGACTTGAAGGTGGTCGTTCTGGAGCCAGGAAAGGTCGGCTTCGCCGTGACAGGCAAGGCCAATACAGACGGGTCGCTGTACAATCCCCACGATGCGAAGAAGCCCCATACAACCGGAAAACTGTACACGTCTCTCTTTGTTAGGCACTGGGACTCGTATGTCGAGCCCCAGAAGAACGCGATCTTCTATGGCTTGCTAGAACAGGCTCCTCTGTCACCGGCCCGTAGATGCGCTGGGAAATATTCCATCTCGGGCCTCACAAACTTGATCGCGGTCTCGGGGCTGACAGGCGTCGAGTCGCCGATTCCACCTTTTGGTGGTACTGCAGACTTTGATATTAGTGCGTCGGCCATTGTCTTTATTGCGAAAGATCCTAACTTAAACCCCGCGACTCATACCTCTTGCTCGTGCTACTATTCTCCCATGTTCTCGTGGACTAGCATGAGTGACCCCGGACCGAAAATCTGCAAGGTTGCTGGTCTTCAGGGAGCGATGTCGTCTCCTGTCCTTAGCTCGGACGGTAGCTCTATTGCCGTTCTGACGATGCGCGAGGATGGCTATGAGTCTGATAAGAACCGTATCTTGTATGTTCCCAACCCGTGGAATGGAGATATGATCGAAATTTTCCAGTCGGACGACGGCGAAGGACTCTGGGATCTCAGTCCATCAGCTATATCGTTCGTTCATGATGACAAGTCACTGCTTATTCATGTCGAGGAGGCCGGTCGCGGAGTTCTTTACCAGCTGCCACTGGAGAATGCGCACACAATCAAGCCCGACTCTTTAAAGAGACTAACCAGATCGGGATACGTGAACGATGCCGTTCCCGCAGCTGCTAAATCACCCAAGTTGTTCGTGTCCAGCAGCAGCTTGGTCGATAACAGCCTGTGGACCATCATCGACCCGGCCCGCCCAGATGATGTTCAACTGGTATCCTCAAACGGGCGGGGCGGCAGAGCATTCGGCTTGTCTCCGTCTCAGGTCGATGAAATCTGGTTCAAGGGAGCCGAAGACCACCCTGTCCATGCGTGGGTCGTGAAGCCGTCGGACTTCAGGCCCGGGAGCAAATACCCGCTTGCGTATTTGATCCACGGTGGACCCCAGGGCGCATGGAACGATCAGTGGAGCACGCGTTGGAACCCCGCTGTTTTCGCTGAACAAGGTTATGTTGTGATAACCCCCAATCCAACAGGCAGTACAGGCTACGGCCAGCCCTTCACCGACGGAATCCAGGGACAATGGGGCGGTCGGCCCTACGAGGACCTAGTCAAAGGATTCGACTATATCGAGCAACACCTAGAGTACGTCGACGTCACACGCGCGGTTGCACTGGGTGCCTCGTATGGCGGCTACATGATGAACTGGATGCAGGGAAACCTGCTCGGTCGCAAGTTCAAAGCGTTAGTCACTCACGACGGAGTGTTTAGCATGACGTCACAGATGGCTAGTGAAGAGCAATACTTCCCTCTACACGACCTGAAAGGGCCAATCTGGAAGGTGCCCGAGAACTGGGCGAAGTGGGATCCGTCGCGGCTCACGGAACACTGGAACACGCCTCATCTGATCATTCACAACGAGTTGGATTACCGTCTGACTATCGCTGAGGGCTTGGCTGCGTTTAATGTGCTCCAGATGCGCGGCATCGATAGTGCGTTCCTGACATTCCCTGATGAGAATCATTGGGTTCTGAACCCTGAAAACTCGCTCATGTGGCACCGGACCGTTTTGAACTGGATTAACAAGTACGTGGGTCTGCCAGCTGTGTCAGAGGAACCCGATCTGTCACGCGGAGTGGGTAATTTGTCGCTGTGATGACAATGGTCTCTTTGATTTGGCCGTTTGGGCCAATGGGAGACTCAACTTGAATATGAAACGTATATGACAGATATTTATGAACATGGTTATTGTTCTTTTCTTGGAAACAAAGCGGAGAAGGGGGTTGTGCGTGAAACTCGGCTTGATTGGAGAGCTCACGATGTCTTTGTGTTATAAAGAAGAGGCTGTTTCGAGACGTCTCATCTCATTGTCGTTGGTTCTTTGAAGTTTTCGACAATCGCATACATCTCATCTATATAAGTGTCCTTATTTCTCTTAATTTACATTCTTCATACTTTGCATAGTGTACCTTGTCTTGTCTTTTCAACACTACCACCACCGTTACAACTACCAACACCAAAATGGAAAACGACCCGACAACCCCCAACTCCCCTCACAGCATCAGCTGGCTCTCCGACCGAACCCTCTCAATCTGCACATCAACCACAACCATAGCAGACACTCTAAGCCCAATGAGCATGTCCTCCGCAAGCATAACGCCTCTAGACCTCACCGAATCCCCCTTCCCAATTGAATATCCCAACATCACCTTTCACGAAAGCCCTAACTTCCACCCTCATTTCCTACCCCTCCTCCGCCACCTCTCCTCCCACCTCTGGCCCCTCGTCAACTGCGAAACAGGCCTCCAACACCCGGACTTCCCACCAACCATGCTAGCCTACAACCTTCTGACCTCGGAGCAGGTCGATAACCTCGCCCGTCATTTCCATCAGGTCTACCCGCCTGTCCCTGCCACATATAATTATCCTGTTCATATTACCCCGTGGATTGGCACGGCGGAGGAGAAGAACATTGATCTCCCTACGAGGGTGCGGAGGTTAGGGCGGTTTTTTGGGTTGATGGGGTGTGAGGAGGATGCGAAGGAGGATGAGGATGCGGAAATGGAGGATCATGATGAACATGGGAGTGGTAGTGATAATGGGGAAGGTATGAATGGAGGTGAAGATGAGGTGCTACGCCAGATGGAGTGGGAGTGGCAGCAGGCGTTGCAAAGGGCGTATGCTGAGGAGGGGCATCGGTGGAACTTGAAGTGAGTTTGATTTCTGATGAAATGGAATATAGACAAAATGTAGAACATGAAACATCCGGGCTATGCATGGGTTTCCTTTCTGAGACGGACTTTGCGCCGTGGTGATTTAGCCGTCGGTTAAAAGAGGTATAGAGACAAGCTATAGGCTAATAAGGGGATGATAGTAGGATAATGAGGGGATAATATAGCATAGTAACATGGTATAGTAGTAGAGAATCAAATATTAATAGCCTTCATTCCCCTGAATATACCCAGCTCTTCCATCTATACATTTAACCCTATATAACCTCACCACCATCAGCACCACCATGCCCAAACCTCTCGTCTCCCACATCTACACAGCCGACCCCTCCGCCCACGTCTTCAACAACAAACTCTACATTTACCCCAGCCACGACCGCGAAACAACAATCGCCTTCAACGACAATGGCGACCAATACGACATGGCCGACTACCACGTCCTTTCCATGGACACAATCACCAGCCCCGTAACCGACCACGGCGTCGTCCTCCGAGACAAAGACATCCCTTGGGTCTCAAAGCAACTCTGGGCCCCGGATGCCGCAACGAAGAATAACAAGTTCTACCTATTCTTCCCGGCCCGAGACCACAAAGGGATATTCCGTATTGGCGTAGCTGTCTCTCAATCCCCGGAAGGACCGTTCGTCCCGCAGGATAATTATATCCAGGGTACATACAGCATTGATCCTGCTGTCTTCGTTGATGAAGAAGCGGGCGGCGAGGCGTATCTCTATGTTGGCGGGATTTGGGGTGGACAGTTGCAATGTTGGGTTGAGGGGAAGGATGAGGATGGGGGCGAGGAGGGGGAATGTGTTGATGGGGAGGGTGCTGGACGGAAGAAGAGACTTGTTTTCGATGAGAGTAGGTCTGGACCTCAGGAACCTACTGGCGAGGGTGTTAGGGCGCTTTGTCCGCGTGTTGCGCTGTTGAAGGATGATATGCTTTCGCTTGCGTCGTCGATGAAGGAGGTTGTTATCCTTGCGCCGGAGACCGGGGAGCCCTTGCTGGCAGATGATCATGAGAGGAGATTCTTTGAGGCCGCTTGGGTGCATCGGTATCAAGGGACGTATTACTTCTCCTACTCGACTGGTGATACACATTTCTTGGCTTATGCCACGGGAGACTCGCCTTGGGGGCCTTTTACGTATCGGGGACGCATTCTGGATCCCGTGCTTGGATGGACGACGCATCATTCGATTGTTGAGTTCCAGGGGAAATGGTACTTGTTTTATCATGACTGTGAGCTTTCTGAGGGGATCGATCATTTGAGGTCGGTTAAGGTGAGGGAGATTGTTTATGATGATGAAGGGACTATTCATCTTGCTGAGGAACAGACTCCTGTGTAATAAATGTTGGTCTATTGAGCTGTATACGTGAATTATAACGGTGCATCTATTCTAATTGCCCATGCCCTTCTCCCAGTTCTCTTGAACCAGCTTCCAGTACTTCTCGCGAGAACGTTCACGGAAGGTCTTTCCGAATTTAATCATGAAGAGGAAGACTGAGGCGCATGCCATGCCAATGAAAGCAGCGGAGATGAAACAGTTCTGGTACCCCATGTTCTCAATCCAAGGCGTGATACTAAACGAAATTAGTGTTTGTCTGCTAGAATTGGAAGAGTAAAACCTACCCATAACCAATTGCAAAGCCCATGGTGTTCCGAATCAAAATCACACTAGCCATGGCAATGCCGCTCAACTCTCGGTAGCTGTCAATAAAGTAATTAACGCTGAGCGTGATGCCACATGTATTCGTGAAGGCCAGCATGCACATTCCAGCAATTAGTCCAAACCAATGGACCTCATGGGCAGCACCAACCCCCCATAGAATAAGGGAAGCAGGCACAAGCACCACACAAGCGAGGAAGGGCCAGAGACGGTGCTCTGCCTCCATGACGCCATTGTTCCGGCGGGCGAGTTCCACAGTAAGCCAGTCGCTAAATCGGCCAGTGAAAAAGGATCTATTACTGTCAGCTTGCGTTAGAGTATCGGGCCAAGGTGAAGATCTTACCCCAGGACCACACCGGTGATGGGTGCTAGATAGCTCAGACCGACCATGGAAGATCTGGGATTTGTTAGCTTGCTCCGTTCATTGTTCGGGTAATAATTAGACCAACCCGAAGTTATATGGCTCTCCACCAAGAATGATAGAGGCTGTTCCATTCATGATGTTGAAGTAAACCAGGTAGGATCCGTAAGAGAAGCTGTGTGCATGTTAGTCAAAACGTATATAAAACTAGAAACGTTGTATCCATACCCGGCATAGAAGATTGTCGGCCAGGACAGGTAGTAAAGACACTGCCAGAGTCGCCGGAAAAAAAGTATTCTGCTCCTGACTCGGTCCCCAGAGCGCCAATTTCTTCACATATGACTTCTTGGTGTAGCCCGAACTTATACTAGCCCTAGTGGCAGCTTCCATGTCAACATCCACAGATTTCTCTTTTTCGTGGTCTTCCGAGCTGAGTTTTGGGGTTTCCGCGATAGTGCTAGGCTCGTCGGGCTGTGCTCGAACATAGTTTGTTTCCTCGCAGAAAAAGAAGAGGAAGATAAGGGCACCGCCGACGAAGATACTAGGGTAGTAGAATACCCACCGCCAGCCCTGGTACTGAGCGATAAAGCCGCAAATGACCGGCGCTAGGTAGTTACTTCCTGCTAGGAAGAATGCATAAAGACCCATGTATGTTCCTCGCTCGTGGGTAAAGTACTGATATTGTGTAAGCGTGAGTCATTTCCTCATGGGGTTTTACTTACCACGTCCGTGACGGAGATCTGAGGAAGCGCTTCTACAGGTGCTGTGAAGAAACCCAAGACGATGTTTCTTGCGAGCCATTGGCCCTTGGTGCTTGCGTATGGTCTGATTGGTGTTAGTCTTGTCTCATCACGGGCATTATGGTGCTCTTACCCCCACATCGTCATACCCTAGGGTTGTTAGCTATACTGTTAAAGTGATATCCAAAATAATTAAGTATGACATACCAAAATTCCGATCAACGACAACATGTATGTCGGCCGCTTGCCATATTGCATAGCGAAAGGCTGCCAGAACAGCAAACCCCAGCCAGCCAACAAAAACATATACCCGCTTCCCTCGTTCAGAGTACTAATGGGTAATCCTGTTTGTTCGTGCAGCGGCGTAATCACCGAGTAAACGACCGAGCAGGCAATTCCTGAGAACATCGTATAGCTAGAAAGTCAACATTGATCCTCGGGTCAGGTCATAGCCTGCACTTACATGCTCACGCAAGCAGTCGACAGAATCTTCCGTCTCGGACTCCAATTGAGGGGATCATCTGGGTCATTTGACGGGGTCGGGATCAATACAATGTCACGGTCTCCGTGGTCCAAGTGCCGGGTCTCCACGACATGATCCACGTCTACCAGAGTCACGGTGCCAGGGATGACTGTGCTGTCGATGACTGGCGCCATGGTGAAGTACAGTTCCTTCCTATATATATGAATGGGGTGAATTCAAGAAAAAAAAAAGCCCGCTCAAGTATGAGATATTATTTCCCGGAGGAAAGCCAGTTTAAATCAAGGCAGCCGAATCGAAGGGATAAAGATAACACAGATATGATCGAAGATCGACATGTTGAGATTCCTAGAAGATGAAGAGGAGGCGAGGAGAAAAGATAAGAACTTTTCCCCGCAAAGAAGGTCTTGGCGAGGATTCTTATATTTTCTGTTTTTATATCTTGAATTTATAGGGATTCTATGGGCTTGTATGGATTTATAGACTGGCATAGACTGGCATATAGTCTCTTTAGCCATCACTTTCACTGCAAATATCCGAATACAAAGAACATCGTCGAGTCCGATATCAGAGTAATCTCGGAATCCTATACTCCTTTGATACTTTGATAGCATAGATTACCTTCCTATTTCGGCCTAAGTCTCTCTCCCCTTTCAGGAAAGAAACGGTTCAACTAATTTTTGACTTCGTTTCCATAACGCCTCTGCACTCTCTTCGCCTGCTGGGAAGTCGAGATGGGGTAGTTTTGGGGTCTGGCAATGATCGAGAAAGGCTCCAGATTGGGCTGATACTCATATCCACCAATCAGTACATACACATTGTCGTCGGATGGTTATCTTACCTTCAAGCTCCGGATCGAGCAACCCGCGCAAGACAGCGCCACTACCCTGACAAAGGGACTTCGGCGCTTGTTGCAAAAGAACCGGTAGGTCTTCGCCGGCTGGATAAAGGAAATCCTGTCAAATGAAATGGTCTTCGCTATCTGCTAGTTATCTGGACGTACCTTCTTTCTTCCGCTGCAGCCAGGATTTGACCTCCTCCCATCCAACATATGTTTGGACATTGGTTTTGGTATCTAGATGGAATGAGAATGAGAATCAAAAACACATTCACGACATTAATAACTCACTTCCTGGATTTGCAGAAAAGGCAGCGATAGATCCACTATGCTTCTTTGCAAAAGACTTGATAAACAAGATGATCGCGAGCATCGACTGCGAATATCCATCGAGACAATGGTAATTTTCTCCATTCTACCCAAATCAGCATCTACTACACCAGCAAGTATACATATATCCCAAACAAAAGAATCACACTCACCTCGAACCCCAAATCATCCCACGTAGGCGCAGGCGCCTCATTCCGCAAACTAGACGTCACCAGAACAACCCTCGACCTGGGCCCCATAACATCACGCAGCAGATTCAGCAGCAGGAAATAACACAGGTAATTCCTTTGGAAATGCGACTCGAGTCCGTCCTCCGTGAGCGACCACGGTACAGCCATGACCTCGGGAAACCCAACGAAGCCATCAATCGACACGTCCAGCTTCTTGATAGTATGCGCTGCCTCGCGGAATGAAGCCAGGCTGCCGGAGTCTGCCGTTACAAAAATCATCTTGACCGGTTTGTATTTCCGGTTGATATGGTCGATCACAGGCTGGAGTTCGTGCTTGGAGCGGCCCGTGTATATTATGGTCCCTGCGCCGCCGTGCGCGAGGACGTCTGCGGTCATTGCGGCGAGATCGCCTCGTCTAAGGCCGGATATTAGGACTATGCGGTGATTAGTTTTATACCGCGTGAGTTGGGACTGTGGCGGTACATGTTTTGTGCTTCACCCGGTCTGGGAACAAATTCAACACGTCCGTCCCCTGTGTATGGTCATCGAAGGTACTGCTCATTGTGCTCGATTCTGTTTGGTTTGGGTTGGGTTGAGATATCTCTGCTTGGTGTGAATCGTGGACAAACTCGGCATGTCGTCATCATGAAGCCATATCGGAGTATGATAGAGTCACGACTGAAGCAACAAAAAAATATGGCGATAAACATCGAGTAGAATTATGGGTTGCAACTTATAGACACACTGGTAATTCGAACAGCAAAAAGTAGACGGTGAACAGCCCTGATATCACAAAAATCAATTCGCATTCATAATGTACAGCTAAAGAAACCGCCCATACGGAGCCTGCCGGTCAAAAAGAAGAACGCAGATAAAACAGAAAACAAGCAAGATCCAAGTAGATCTCAGTGAGATGGGCCCGCATCATCTTCAGGCATCTGATCAATGACACTCTTCATGAGCTCGATAAGCTCGTCAATGTCGGGCCGTTCCGAGGGTTCAACAGTGAGACACCTGCGAACAATATCCTTGACGGGTGCGCTGATCGCAGGGACCTCGTTCTTAGACGCATCCTCGCTTTCGCCGGACTTGGCTTTACCCTTAGAAGCGCCAGACTTCTCATCGGGGAATCGCCAGTCACCACCAAGAACGCACATGCTCAAACTGCCACCGGTCTCTTCACTGCGCGCCTCGAAGGGACTCTTGCCCACGAGACAGGCATAGAGTGTGCAGCCTAGCGACCAGATATCAACCTTGGTATCAATAATCGACCCTGTCTTTACATCGAAGAGCTCCGGTGCGCGATACGGCATCGTGCTGTGTTCTGCTGCGGTATCCTGCACCGCCAAGGCGAGTGAGCGCGATGTAATGGCGATGGGGCTGGGCGCCAAAGAGCCTAGATCCATCAGGATGGGAGATTGGCCGTTGTCGTCGATCATGATGTTTCCTGTAATGACAGTTAGCTCATCGAGTCGATTCGAAATTTCCGCATGTGCAGCAGCCACTCACCAGGCTTGACATCTCGGTGCGCATAGGGGCGCAGGTCCCCATCCTCGACACCCTCCTGACTCCGGGTGACCTCGTCATCCATCAGGGGCTCATTCTCCTCATCCTCATTCTCAGGAATGCGATGGCTAGCCCTTCGTTTCGGTTTCATCTGCATGGTCCGTTCGTCGTCTGCCTCCTCGCCTTCTCTCCGAACAGCCTTCGCCTTTCGCGTAGACGCCGCTCCGTTCTTCACCCGATACTGATGCATCGAGCGCAGCGCATCAGCAACACCGAGTATGAGGACCATCAGCCGCTTCTCGGGGAACTTGGTATGGTTGACCAGATTGGCATTAATAGCATCCTGGAGATTACCGCGCTGGTAGTATGGGAGTAGGATATAGACCGTTTTCGAGCCTGGATCTCCGCCATCGGATCTGAATTTCGAGCCGGATTCTGTGGACACGCAGTGGTCGATCGAGTGGATGATGTTGGATTGGGAGTTGAAGAGGTTGTAGGCTTCGACTTCTTTCAGCGCTTGCGATACGGACTCTTGACCGAAGGGACAGCGGATCTTCTTCAGCGCAAATAAATCGGAGCTCGCTTTATCTTGGACTAGGTAGACGTAGGAAAATCCACCCTGTTGCGTTGTCAGTTCAGACCAGCTTGCAGCTATCGTTATCGGGTATCCATACCTCGCCCAACAAACGTAGGAGCTTGAAACTTCGGTTGTTGATCTTTAGCTGTGGAGAGCTGGGAAAGCAGCACATGCAATCCGTGAAGTTGTATAGAAGGTCGAAGAAGTATTGCGCCATGGTGTATGATGCGAGGGCAAGAGGTGGAGATGTCGGGCCCCGGTGACGTCCGGCACGGTAGGTGGTAGTTGCGCAGGAGTTCGTACGGAACGGACAAGATCGTCGGAAAGATGTCTTGGAGATGCAGAGACTCAGAGGCAAGGTTTGTATATGCCGAGGAGGAGATGGTGGAAGTTGAGGATGTCAGTTGGCATTACGTGGAGTGGAGTCCCGTTCATTTGTTGTCTTCCCCCTTTCTCTTGTCGTTGCGTTCGTTGGATTTCTCGATCACCTTCATTTCTCTTATTCTAACTAATTAAATCGGGACTAATCGGGCCTGTCGTTTTCCACTTATTTCCTTTTTTCCCCTTCCCAATCGTCATGGTGGAAGTTGGGCCGTCAAATATCCTTGCATTCTCCTAAACACTCCCTCTGCACCCTGACTTCTAAACCCTTCCAGGGGCTATTGATATTCGCCCGGAGCTATTATTTAAAAGCCGCATCCCACCCTATTCTCCTCATATTCATATCACCCCATATTTCTCCCCAATGGCGCACGATGATGTACAGGTCGGTGACGTGGTGAATGTCCCCGGTGGCATGCATGGGACGATCAAATACTTGGGATCGGTAGCGGGGAAGGCCGGACGATTCGCAGGTGTCGAACTGAGCGCCGAGCACGCGCAAAGAGGCAAAAACAGCGGCGATGTTGAGGGCCGGAAGTACTTCACAACCTCGATTCCGGGTTCTGGTATATTCGTGCCCATGAACAACAACAAGTATGTCACAAGGCGATCCTCAAATATCTCTACACCGATTACTCCTGCACGTGGGGGGCCCGTCAACTTCAGCAAATCTGTCGGTGCAGCTCTTGCTACTCCCCGCCCCCGAGTCCGACGACCCTCTCTCCCTCGACCCGAATCTCCGCGCGTGCCGCCTCCTCCGAAACTAAGCCTGGCCGGCTTGCGTACACCGTCGACTGCATCAAGAGCGGGGCTGAACGGTGGCATGCGTAGCCCCGTCAAGGCTCCATCTCGGCTGTCTGATAGACCATCGTCGCGACTTAGTGTGGATGATGATGCTTCGTCGTATGGACGGCCGTCGGACTTCCGTCGACCGCCCTCGTCGGAGATCCAAGACTTGAAGGATCAGATCAAGAGTCTAGAGAAGCAGCTGCTAGACCGAGATAAGCAGCTCGACGAGCAGTCTGGGACTTTGGGCGAGTTCCAGAAGACCTTGGAGGAGATGGAGGGATCGGAAGGTCATTCATTCCGTACACAACTGCGTGAACGTAACGAGCGGATTATCCAATTAACGGCCGAATTCGACGTTCACCGCGCAGACTTCAGAAGTACCCTCGACACATTGGAGATCGCAGCCTCCGAAACAGAACGCGTCTACGAGCAGCGTCTCGACGAGCTTATACAGCAGAACAAAGAACTGCAAGACCGCGGCGAAGATGTTGAGGTTGTTGCGCAGCAGCTCAAGCAGCTGGAAGAGCTAGTCTCGGAGTTAGAGGAAGGCCTCGAGGACGCCCGGCGTGGAGAGGCCGAGGCTAG